CCAAGATTCTCACTTTCTGTGACGTCCATAACTTCTTAATTTACACACTCTCGAAATATACCGTAAATAGCTACGTTCGGCGACGTAACAAGAATAAATAGAACAAATTGTTTTCCATTAGCGTGTCATTTGTTTGTCACACAGATCTACGGGACATGATAATGGCAGTTATGTCAGTGGGCTTCATATCATGACATTACGTTGTGTAGGAGGTGTGGATATAATCTCTTCGCATTCTGAGCACAATGCCGATGAGGAAATCAGAGTCAAAGTCACTTTACGACCGACGGTCAGTCGTCCAGTCAGTCTTGGTTTCAAGTCACAACTGGGACCCAAGACCAGATTTTTGTTACTGCCAAACAGTTGGAGTTTTGTCAAAGTGGGACGCCTTCTCTGACGACAGGGCAGGTCTGGCATTTATCGCGGTCATAATCAGCAGTACATGACATCTGTATTTACAAATTTATTTGTCGGCAATCTCCATAGTCATTTGAAGAATCCACTTCTTCAAACGACACGGGCCGCATATTGCATTATATTCTTCTGCGGGAATGTGTTTATCCAGAGGTTGACTAGCAACGATAGGGAGGACATAAAGACTCGCAGACACCAAGGTGATCTCATAAGTCTCATTTCACTTTTTCAAAATAAAGAAAGTAGGCCAAGAATAACCGCAAGAAAGCTTTCAGAAAGACGGACACTGACCATTCGTCCGGATATCCAATTGACCAGTTCACTTCATGGTACAAGTGCTTCCATGAGCAAACATTAGTTATGCACTATATCCTCACAATAGATCATTGAAGGTCGCAGTGCGAGGGCCGGTTTTTATGGCCCACCCCTTACATACATATCCTCACTCGAGGTACGAGTATTTCTTCTATTTTATGTCCTTATAACTTGTTACTTGTCGATGTATGTTAATATTATCCTCTAGAACTAATATTTGCTAAGCGCTTCCCGTTTCTCCAAGCATGCCATTTTTAGAGGGCAACTGCCATTTTAAAGCAACAATTAGAGCAATGTTTCTAACTACGAAATTCTTCTGTATGTACTTTTCTTAAATTACATATTGTTTATTGCTTTTTGATAAAGATATTTTTTATTATTATTTCGAATTTAAATCGTTCGAATTCTCATTGCTCCCTCGAAGTGATAAACTAGTTTTACATTCATATGAAGAGACAGATAGTGTAAAGTTTTGTGTGGTATTTTTCCGTGAGCTGATCACAGTGACCGCGCGACCTAAGGCATGAACTGTCTTCGTTCGCTCGAATGTTGAGATCGTGTGTTCAAATCGCACTAAAGTTATGACTGTCGATATTGTGTGCGTTTATTCTGTGTTTGTAATGTTCTCTGTATAGGCAGATGTCAAGTACAATAGATCACTGTAGGTCGCGATGCAAGGGCCGAGAAGGCCCACCCCTTATACATTCATAGGTAGATGTCTTGCGACAGACTGATCCCCATTAAGAAAAGGCGGCCAAGGACCAGCAAAGGGCTGTAGAGCCATAATAATAAATTTTCCACGTATAAACTGAGATAATACATGAAGAAAGCAGTCTTCTGGGATTTGGCACCGTGTATATGTGGTGTTAACCGATGTTTCGGAGGAACATCGGTTAACACCACATATACATGGTGCCAAATCCCAGAAGACTGCTTTCTTCATAGTCACCGCCGTGAAAGCCTCAAATCTTACATGAGATAATAGATTTCTTGAGTTCATTTCTGAGATAATTTCATCTTGATTATAATTTATACCTAATAATTATTTTTCTCTTTTCAGTTTAAAATTCAGTTTATTATTAAAACAATTTTCCTTATGTTTACGCGATGCAACGGCAAAATATATGCTTTCATTTGTGTACCATATTGTCGTGTGTAGGTTGGTACGCGTGACGATAATGACTGCTTCTAGTTCTAGTTCTAGCACCTTCGTTACAGTCTCTTTTAATCACATTTAAATTACAGCGCTATCGCGGGTTCCACACTTTATGATTCACTGTTGCACGCACACACTAGTCCTCTCCAAGTAACATATCCCAATACGGAAATCAGCGCTTCAGATCACTCCAGGTATTACACATAATTAAAGTCTTCAAATCACACACAACGAACTTCCCGTGGTTGTCTTCCGCCGAGGATTCAACTGTACTTAAACACTTGAACACACACTAACAAAGAAATCTGAAAGTCAGAGTCAAAGTCACATTGCGATTTACGGTCAGTCAGTCAGTAAGTCTTGGTATTGAGCCCCATCTGGGGCGCATGACCAGATATTTATTACTGCTTGACAGTTACGGTCTTGTTATTGTGGGGCGCCCTCCCTGACGAGAGGACGGGTCTGCCTTTTGTTGGAGTTATTGTCTGCAGCAGTAAGTCATTTGTCATAATGTAAAGGATATTTACGTTTACATGTTAAGCATGTTAATAAATGTATATAAAATATATACAGGGCCTCTGTCATTCCAGACTCAGTACAGCAGATTATGCTCCCGCAACAGCGGCAGTCTGGTAACTTGAACGGTCGTATGCTTGACCGGATTCGGCTGTTCTGTATAGAATCTAGTTATATAGCCTCCGCACCGACCATGCACATGAAAGAGCCTTTATAGTTGTAAAGGAGTGTTTACCGCGACGTTGCATAACAGCGGCCTCGGCGTCGACCGCATAGAAAACGCCGTACTTCTGTTGTTGCCTTGCGTATATTCGGTCGCGAAGTGTTTAACGGTCAGTTACGTAGCAACGCCCTGGCCATCCACGTTACAGTATGATATATATATATATATATATGTCTATCCTTCTATCATATAATACAATAAGGATGTGCAACAATTGATTCAATTATAATCCGAGCTTAATTGCTTCTGATTTTCTTATCATCGAGCAGTGTTATCCTGTATTAAAATGGCCGCGCCATAGCTCAAGCGGTTAGTCGATGGCTTCACACAGAGGGGGCCCGGGTTCGATCACGGGTCTGGTCAAGTGGGATTTGTGGTGGACAAAGTGGCGCTGGGGCAGGTTTTCTCCAAGTACTTCAGTTTCCCCTGCCAATCTTCATTCCACCAATTGCTCCACAATCACCTCACCTATCATCTGGGGCTGGTACAATAGGCCAGAAGTGGCCGCAGTACAAGGGACTTAGTCCCACTCCACTAGCAATAAAAAATAATAATCCTATATTAAATGTCACCAAAATGCACCATTAGAGCGCCTAGCTTAAGACATTTGTAGGAATCCTCGGTTAGCATAGCAGCTCTTCGTTCTTACGTAAGAAGGGATAATAATAAAAAAAGAAAAAGAAGTTTGTTCGCACTGAGCCAAGAGAACGCATTCCAGTTATAAAAGCGCACTTCTATTTCTAGCCATCATCTGGTAAAACAGTCTGTTGGAGACAGACGTAACCCATTTAACGTTAACCACCACTTTGAAAATTAAATTCTGTTCTAATCCACCAATATGTCTTTGAGAAAAAGATTAATTCCAGCTACGTAATGAAAACCAGAGAGTACGAACTGAAACTGCCAGTCCACATCATAAAACAGGAGAGGGAAAGGATGTTTACTCAAAACTCTGTTTGGAATATGCTGTAGATATGCCTTAGAACACTTCGACACTTCTACGTCACGGGCCCTGTTCGTCTCGCTCTTGCGTTGTCAACTCATCTTTTGATGACATTCAGTACTTCAGTCTAAATGTTGAAATAAAGATCTGCTAAATCAAGATGTTTCAATTGTTGGCATAATCGCTGTAATTACAGTGTCATGCATTTCGTGAAACACAAAGATTTTACATTATTTATCAAGGGCAGCTCAGTCATCCGCGAAGAACTATAAGACCAGAAGTCGATTCGCGGCATAAACAGGAATTTTCCTGTTCATGACCGCGTTCATATCTCCTCTGGGGCCCAGATAGTACGAGGTAGGCAACCTAAGCTATCCGCTTACATTTATCTAGTGCCAAGGTCAAGAGTGCATAGAGCTACACCTCTATTTTCCCGCAAGTGTTTATGACACGGTGCTTAACGTAGCGTATATCTGAGGTCTAGTGGTCAGAGTTCCTGGCTACAGATTCAGAGGTCCGGGTTCGATTTCAGGCGCTACCAGATTTCCTGAGAAGTAGTGGCTCAGCCTCGTGAGGATTCGCATAGAAAGAGGGTGGAGTCCAGTTGGGTCCACTCGGCACGGAGGCCTCTGATTGGCTGCCCCGGGCGATTATGATGATGGAGAATTTGATGGAATGAAGATTGGCAAGGGAAACCGAAGTACTCGGAGAAAACCTACCCCAGCGCCACACAAATCCCACTTGACCAGACCCGGGATCGAACACGGGCCGCCGCGGTGGGAAGCCAGCGACTAACCGCTTGAGCTATGGCGCGGCCCTTAGCCTCGTGAGGATAATTGAGGAGGTATTTCAAGGAAATAGCGGCTCCGGTCTAGAAAACCGAGATTAACGGCTGTGGGGATTCGTTGCGCTGACCACGCGACACCCTCTATCCGCTATAGTTGACACTAACTTCGCCGACAAGCGGCGGTCGCTCGGTCGGTATAGTTCGCTCGCGGACTCAAAGCCATGGAGTTTAGTTTTTTTTAGTTTTTTGGGCTTTGATCGGCGTATTGCATATTGTAAATCCTATTTATGAAAACAGACATTTACAGCGCACAAGTATTTCGGACGTTTTCAAATAACATAGCTAATAAGGCAAAAATATATTCGTACTACATTTAGTTTAAACCCAGTGAGCCAACGTGAAGCGAAATGTAGAAGAATTGAATTAGAAATACTTAAAGCCGTATTCCGCCTCTACCAGACAGAAGTTATTAAAACTGGCGATTCGAGGAATCGCTATTCCACACCCACTAGTTTCTCATAATTTTGAACGACGTATTCAAGTTGTATGCGATGTATTGCTACTGTAATAAACATTAATTGAAAACACCACATCTGCCCACTTCTTTCCCCCACTCCGAAGAGGTAGTGACGCCGCGACGCCCTCATAGTCTAAGCAGAATCGGACGCTCCTCAGTCGCAGACCAGTGTTACACCCGTCAACATCTTCGTCGTCCGAGTCCTAGTTGACGCACTCACCGAATATCGGCATCCAGGTAACGCGACTGAAATCGTTGTCTCTCAGTACTTAGCAACGCCAACCTACTCTTTCATTTTACAAACATTTTCAATAAGAAAATGTGAGGCGAATTCTTCTAGTATGCAAATACCCACAGACAACTCAAATTAATGTTTATGGAACTGTGAAATGGCGCTGAAGAAAACATGTTAGCCCTCTGAATATACATTTCTGTGTGTCAATTTTTCTCCTAAATGACAGCTTCTCTGTTTTAATTCTTCTTCCTTTCAAGATATGGGCGTAATATTAGTACGTAAGTGTGTCTTGTTTTTTAACAGGGAACATGTATCTATTTTCGAAGAAGCCACATCAGCGGATATGTGAAGTAATCACGTGAACATGTATTTCCGGTGTACAACCATTTTCTCAAGTGACAGCGTTGAGACATAAAATAAGGAGCCCAATTACAATAATGCAAATGTTCTTAATGACAAGTTGTGTCGAATAAATTTACGATTCCAAGATTAACAAATTTACCAAGGAGACAGACAGTGTTGTAAATTCATGCATTGATGTTGATAAATATTCCGTTCTAGGATTCTCAAAAAAACTCAAAGTTGCATAGATTTGGTCCTCAAAAACAAATATAGAAATCTATCATAATCGTGGCCAGTTTCCTAATGATTTTTTAAAATTAGGAATATTTTCTTATAATATCTATTAAGATCCTGATCTACTATTTAATGGTAAGAACTGAAATTTCTTTTGAAATAATTTTTCGACACTTTTATTGCGTGATACGTTTGCGAACGACTTAATAGTTGGTACCTCTACTGTCCGTAGATCAGCTCCCAACAGTTCCGTAAGTGTAAGATGGGGAATATAATTATTGCATCTGGTTTAAGGGATTCTTAGTCTCATCTTCAGGAATCCAGTACACGAATATATTGATATACGTACACAAAGAAATAATTTGCGAAAAGCATTAATGTGGAAACTTTCAATATTTAATTATGTGATATGATACGGAAATATTAGTAACTGAGACAGATAATTACTTCGGTTTTAATTATATTTATATTACAATTTATATTACAATAGGAGGAGGCAAAATAAATGACAGAATTCGTCTACTTGGAGTCTCTAAGTCAAACTGCGGCAGTTCGTCATGATCACTTCTTCGGAAAGCATGTGAATTTTGATTATTGATTCAGGTGCAATTTTTGATAATTCAAAAATTTGATATCTGTAGTTTCAGCTTGCAGGCAAGTTCAGTAATTTTTGTATTCTCAGTGGGGTCAGAGTATATACATAGGAAATCATTAACATGAATTGAACAAAGAAATTCTAGTCAAGTCAGACATGAAAATCAGAAAACAACGTGTCAGTTTTTTATTCCCTCAACAGCTGGGTTGCTGCAGTGATGGCGAAACAGTCGATGTTCTTCGTTAAAAAATCTTCCAGCATACTGTCAACAATTATATTGTCCTTGGGCGGCAAGTAATATAGACAGATAACCGTGTTGTTCACTTGCCTCTGTATCCTGAGACGACACATATTATGGGCCTTTCGGAAAGCTCCGTGTTGACGAAAATTGGACAGCTTGAGGAATCTTCCCCTCTGTATAATTTCCTGATGCCCAGCTTTCGCTATGCATAAAACAGAGATATTCGAGTCCGCATCTTTAGACCCAACAAATATCAGGAGGGTCGTAACGAGATCAGGGGTGCACAATGGATTCATTAGTGTCCTCTGTACTTGGGCGACTGAGAACTTTTCTCCCTCATAAGTCAGTATGAATACGAAAGCAAATAATTGATATATTATTGAAAATAGGCAATTCCACTAATAAGTTTGCTTTAACTTTTAATCTATAAGGGCGAAGAGTATGTTTAATGGTTGGCTGCTATAGTTCTGAAATGTGGGAATAGTGTACTTTCCCAGAGAGAATTTTTCTCTGACGACACAAGTAGACCTTTTTATTTCCTTCAAATTTAATATATTCGAGTTTTATGATTATTAATTCTCTTTCTTTAGAAATGATAATAGTAACTTAGAGCCGATGTGTTTGAAGTGGTTTCAAGATCGCTTGTCCCTTCTCAGTACTTAGAATGGAATTTTGGCCAGAATATACTTTGTCAGAATTTCTCATCGCGAAATATTAATATTGTTTTAAAATTTTACAAAATGTTAATATATTACATAAAGTTTGTGCTATTCAAGGACCAAATTCGGGGAAATGGACCGGTATTTCCAAAGGTCAACTAGGACACAGAAGAGCAGAGCCGGAACCTGTCCCAATTTCTGCTGTAACACAAGCAGGCGGTCTCTGTAAGGGAACGCGCACACGAGCAACCTACAAGACAGGAGCTAAAATTAGGTGATGAGGAGCCCTCTGCCCGTGGTTATTTCTGGTCCTCTCACTTACGTCACTAAAGGCCTCCGCAAATGCCACGAACGCAATAGGTACAGTCTCCTGTACGATATAAGTGGAATAAGAAATATTTGGTTTGAACACACTCTTTAAATTAACAAATAGAAGGGGGTAGAAAGTAATGAAGGTAGCCCGAAAAGTAAAAAAAAAATCTTTTGTCTATCACGACAAATAATTTGAAAAATGAATTTTATTTTTCAGATTTTTAGGCCAAATTTTTGGGTGTTGGCTGCTGCTGACAGTGAATAAATAGTGAATTTATAGCGATGACAAAATAATCCAAGTTTGACTCACATATTTTTCCACAACACATTTAGTGCTGGGACTTGTTCTCATTGGTAATCACGTGCTTGTAGTACGCTTAACCCTTTGATTTGTATAAGACCGTGTATCCATGATTAAGTTATACTCATCATACCGCGGTAGCTCGGTCGGTATAACGAATAGGCTACAGGCTGGACGATCAAGGTATGATGTGGGATTTGTGGTGAACAAAGTGGCACTGGAGCAGGTTTTCTCCGAGTATTTGGTTTCCCCTGCCAGTTATCATTCTACCGACTGCTCCGCATTCATCATCAATCATCGGGTGCTGGTGCAATAGGCCAGTTAGTGGCCGACGTAAAAAATGGACTCGGTCTCACCCGACACCAGGAAAAACTCACCCACGGAGATGAGCCCTTCTTGAGAGACTGCCAACTGTGCAGCTACTCAAGAACTTCCCAGCTTTTTATGGAACCCGAAAGTTCATCACCGTGTTCACAAGAGCCCTCCACTGGTCCCTATCCTAATCCAAATCAATGCAATTCATACCATCCCATCCTATCTCTCTAAGATCCATTTTAATATTGTCCACTAATATACGTCTTAGTCTTCCTAATGGTCTCTTACTTGCTGGATTTCCCACCAATATCCTATACGCATTCGTCCTCTCCCCATTCATGCTACATACCATGCCCATCTCATCTTCCTTGACTTGAAGGGCAAATAGATTTCTCTTGTCTGCAGCGTTCAGACCGGGAACTCTTTCTTCGGCTGTAAAGCGGTCGGACTGTGAGTGTGACCACTCAGCTCCACTTATTGCCGAAGTTAAGAATGCGAGGAGCTGTATCTCCACTGCCCTACATGTCTCCATAGCGCAGTGCTTAACTAAGCATAGGTTCATCTTTACCTCTTGCCTCCAACTAGCAACATTCAATTCGTCCAAGACTTCTTCCAGAACAAAATTTTTGTTAGGCTGTGCAGTCAATTAATGGAAGATAGGCTACTTATGCTTCTCTTGCACACAGTTTTTCTATAAAAGTTGTTACATTTCCTGCCTATAGACACCTGTATTTATACTGCCGGATTGAAAACAAATGTTTAATATGGCAATTAGATATAACTTTTATATTTGTAACGTCTGATTTTCCCACAGCAGTTACTGTGAAGAATTACCTACCTCTCTGGATGTGACACCGTGTGGTCTAGTAGAAATTTACAGACATTTCAAGCAAGGAGTACTCTACTTTCATGGCTTAGTTTCTAACCCTGAAGATGGAGTCAGTGTATTTTTTCGGAAAGTCAGAAAACATCTGTCAGATTACACGGTATCACACCCCAGAAGTCAGGTACTTTTCATATTAAAATTTGTTCTAGAACTCCGAATTCTGTGTCAGGTTGACCTATGTTAGTTTGAGTATTTTAATTTCTCTGGGTACTTGTTCCATATCTATCACACTCATTGCTTTGAACTGGCAGCAATCTCCATTCGATTTTCTTTAAATTAGCCTTATTTTTTAGTCATTCATTTTAGTCAAAAAACCTGAGGGGAAGGTACTACAATTTAAGTTTATCCGTGCAATAAAGAATAATACGTAATTTGGTCTCAAATAAATAGGGTGTTATGGGGAGAACTGATTTCGCCTGTCTCATGGCTGGTACCAATGGCGGTCTACGACAACGATCCTTCCATAAAGACTTGTAATTTCTGAAGAATGAATATTAGCTTCTTAAGAAGAACTCTGACGCTTGGAGTTTGCTGTATTCAATGACGAATTCGTGGTGAGGAGCATGCATATGCCTCCCCTGTCAGTGTACACATCTGACACTCAATCAGTGGTGGAGAGTCCATATTAAACATATCAGCCCGGCTAATATTTTCAAAAATGAAATATATTATTTTCGCGATTCAGTGGTACTCCAAATCAAATCCATTGTTAGCCATTTGCTTCACGCTGATGCTGGCCGTTTGTGAACATAGGCACAATTAGAAGAGATACAATATGTGTAAACTTGAGTGCATAATATTCCAAACTACAACGTTAGCCAAACGAGGAGTGTCAAAACATTTAAGTATCTCTGTTCTCGCAGGGAATTGAATAAAAAATTGCTTCATGAACTGAAGTATGAAGTGTAATAAAAATAATTAGCTCAGAAGTCTCCGGCCATTTCATCGTAATTTAAATTTCCCTCTCATTTTATTCCTTAAATATATTAATTTTAGCTAATATATGCATAGTTTTCTTGTAAGATATGTACGTACATTCAGTGGCCAACTTTATAAGCAGTCTCCTCTATTCACTCGTTGCCTCACACTCCTGGAAAAGGTAATTAGTTATTGCTGA